ATATATAATTATATATGAAACATTTTTTTCCGGATTGATAATTCTTAAAGTAAGGAATGAAAATGAAAATTTTCTAATCTTTCGCTTTATTAGATAATTTATCAGTTGCTTTTATAGCAATAATAAATCCGAGATCTATAAATTTTAATACAACTGATTATTGCAAATTAAATTTGTTCAGTCGAATTTTTAATTGACTGCTTTATTCATGTCGATCTACTAATTTCATTACAATATTATACTTTGCTATTTATATCATGCTATTTATATAATTACGTTATAATTATAATAGTTTCATTATGGGATCATAAATTAAAGACAGGAATGCCAAATTAACATCTTGTTAAATTAAATCTTATGTTTAACGGCTGCTGATAATTAGAAATGATTAATTGAGAATTTTAACAAGATTATTTGAAAAATCTTAATTAAAGTCTCTTAATTAAAGAAAACAGTTATAGTATATGTTTAAAAACTTTTATGCAATAAATAATCGATGCTTAATGCGTAGTAAATAAAATCAGCAGATTTGAGCACGAATATCGTGACAGATAAATATCAATATCCGCATTATGCTCATGTTTTGTGAGAAAATTGTGTCGACAACAGAAACCGAGTAAGATCTGTCATTTAATAATTATTTAAATGAAATATATTATTTAAAATAATTTTTAAATGACAAATTTTGCAATTAAACCATTATTAATCTATTAGCAGATTCTTTTTTAATTTTTGTTAGTATTTCGTTGACAATATTTGTAGACACTTCTGTAAAAAATATAAACTCTCGTGCAAAATTTCTTTGTGGTTATATGTAACTTTATATAATATGTCGTCAAAAATTTAAGAAAAAACAGATATAATAATTAGACAAAGGCTATAATTGGCATGTGGAGCGTCCACAAGATTTTTTTTAAGGGGGAGGAGGGGAAGAAGTTTTACCATATATAAGGAAAAAAATGTTCAAATATTTCCTTCCTTGGTGACCCTACAATTCCTACAGTGTCGAATTGATGACCTTTTTTTCGTTACTTTTTTATTTCTAAAGTGTATGTCGAGAAAAGTACGTATTTCGATTTTTTATTTTTTTATTTTTAAATTTTTAATCCCTACCAACACGCGCTTTCAATGCACGTCTCCCGATCAGAGAGAGGAGGGCAAATATCCCCCCTTTTACTCACCTTCCCTTCTTCTGGATATCCATGATAATTGATACAATTGTAATGAAATATATACGTTTATATACATATAGAAGATTATTGTATATGCTACATTATGCATATACATACATTATATCTTTCGACAGCACGTTTTTTATGACATGCAAATTATCTGAGTATATCATCTTTTTTTACATGTATACAAAAAATTTTTAAATAAAAATGTTTCTACTTGTTGCACGGCCAGTTTTCGATTATATATATTATACAAAAGTATCGGAAATGTAAATAAACATTAACATGTTTATTTTTTGTTGTAAAACTATTTGTAACTGATAAGAGAATAAATTAATAAAAATTTCCAAGTTATTTAATATTAATAATTATTTCATAAAATTTTTATAAAAAATCATTATAAAAAAACCATCTGTTCTAACTTACAAAATCTACGACTAAAAAAGAGCTGGTAATTCTGATCAGGAATGTTTAGAAATTTTTTAAATAAAGGACGCAGTATATAAAACTTTCTAATCTTTCATCTCATTATCAGTCACTGTTAATGAATTTTCCATCAACAGTAGAAAGTTTACGTTTCAAAAAAAAAAAAAAATGGTTGAACAATTAGGTTGAAATTCAATTGAATTTAACTTTTAATTCATATTTTATATTTTTAAGAATTTATTTTACTGTAAAATAATAAAAATGCGTGGCTCTTATCAACGTTTTATGTATCAAGGTGTACAATCTAAATATTTATATAATCTAAATATCAATCTATATTTTAAAAGAAAACATTTCTCTATTTCTCTTGCCTCTCTCTCCC